GCCACAACACCTGGCCATTTTTTGGTTGCAGCCATCATTGTTGCTTGGCGGGCCCGGGCTGGGGATTCGAACCCGCCGCCTTAGGTGTACGTGGCTGGCGCCTTAGCCGCTTGAGCCACAGGCGCCAAGCCCACAAAGTAGGTTTAAAAACCGATTTTAAAAATCCTCATAGTCTAGGCAGAGTGTGGTGGTAGGCACCTATAGTTCCAGCTACTCAGGAGGCTGGGACAGGAAATCACTTGAGTCCAGGAGTTTGAGGCTGCAGTGAGCCATGATGTCAATGCACTCTAGCTCAGGCAATAAAGCAGACCCTGGCTCTACTAAAAACACAAATAATCAGCTGGTGAGATTGTGCAGGCCTGTAGTCCAAGCTACTTGGGAGGCTGAGGCAGGAGGATCACTCAAACCCAAGAGTTATTGTGAGTTATGACACCACGGCATCTTACCAAGGGCAACAAAGTGGGACTCTGTCTCAAAAAAAAAAAAAAAAAAGAAGTTGCCGTTCACAGAGGTTAACTAAATTGCCATCATTAATTTTATCACTCCACATTCTCACCTTGCCCAGGCACTTTGTTATACATGTCCTCCTTTAATCCTCACAACCAGCCAATGAGGTGGCAATAATATAGTTATTCCTGTATTAAAGATGGGAACCTGAGATTCAAAAAGATGAAAGGACATGCCCAGGGTCCTAGTACTAGTGAGTGGTGAGTGACAATGTCGGGTCCAAAAGTCCATCTCTCCACTTTCTGTCCCAACACACTGCATCCCTGAAGGCAGCTTTATTCACTCATTCAGGGAGTATTTGTTCAGCACTTACTATGTGTGCTAAGTACTGTGCTAAGGCCTGGGGATACAACGGAAAGCAAGGAGACAAAAGCTCCAAAACCCCTGTAATCCTGAGGCTGAGTCCAGTGCAGGAAGGAGGAGGACAGCCCTTGACAAAGCGTGGCAGAGTTGCAAATGTGCTGACTGCTACCCATCAAAGGTACCTGGGATTGTAAGAACCTCTGATAGGGGTTTTGATTTGTTCAAGGAAATCCGCAAAGGCTTCTGAGAAAGTAATGATCTGGCTAGGATCCAAAGCAGTGATTTTCAACCAGTGTGTCATGAGAGGCTCTAAGATGTGCTGCAGAAAAAATAAAGGCAGGAGGATCAAAGGAAAAAACCTTTTTTTTTTTTTTTTTTTTGAGACAGTCTCACTTTGTCGCCCTCAGTAGAGTGCTGGGGCATCATAGCTCACAGAAACCTCAGACTCTTGGGCATAAGCTATCCTTTTGCCTCAGCCTGCCGAGTGCTGGGACTACAGGTACCTGCCGCAAGTCCCAGTTTTTGGCCAGGACCGTGTTGAACCCGCCACCTCTGGTATATGGGCTGGCGCCCTACTCACGGAGCCACAGGTGCTGCCCAGTCCCAGCTATTTTTAGAGGTCTCACTCTGGCTCAGGCTGGTCTCAAACCTGTGAGCTCAGGCAGGCCACTCACCTAGGCCTCCCAGAATGCTGGGATTAAAAGTGTGAGCTGCCATACCCTGCTGCTGTGAAAATTTTTAAAGGTCACTAGTTAAATTATTCTAAAAAGAAACTCAGAGCATGGTAAGTATATTCTTTTTTTTTTTTTATTCTTTTTGTTGATCAACATAATTTAAACAGGTAGATACGATGGCTCATACCTCTAATCCTAGCGCTCTGGGAGGCTGAGATGGGCAGATTACCTGGGTTCAGGAGTTTGAGACCAAGCTGAGCCAGAGCTAGACCCCATCTCTAGCAAAAATAGAAAAACTAGCTGGGCATTGTGGTGGGTGCCTATAGTCCCAGCTACTTGGGAGGCTAAGGCAAGAGGATCACTTGAACCCAGGAGTTTGAGGTTGCTGTAAGCTATGGCACCCTGGCTCTAACCAGGGAGACAGAGTAAGACTGTCTTAAAAAAAAAAAATTAAAACAAAAACGTAATTTAAGTGTGCCACAGAAGTTTACCTATAGATTCATGTGTGCTATGAGATAAAAAAAGGATGGAAAACATCGATCTAAAGGATAAGCAAGCATTACCCAGGTGATGGGTAATGGAAGCGCATTCCTGAAGCAGCAGGAAGAAGCAAGCCACACCAGAGGGGCTGACCTGGCCAGTGTGGCTGGAGTTTACAGAGCTGGGAGGCGGTGGGGTGAGATGAGATGGGAGAGGAAGAAAGGGATGGGATCCTACAGGGCCTTGTTGGTTCTGTGAGGATTTGAGTCTTAATCCTAAGCAAACCAACATCATTGGGGTGTTTAAGCAATTGAGTTCCGAGATCAGATTTGTGTTGCAGAAGGTTACTCTGATGACCATGAAGAGAACAGACTAGGCTCAGCACCTGTGGCTCAAGTGGCTAAGGCGCCAGCCACATATACCTAAGGTGGAGGGTTTGAATCCAGCCCGGGCCCGCCAAACAACAATGACGGCTACAACCAAAAAATAGCCGAGCATTGTGGTGGGCACCTGTGGTCCCAGCTACTTGGGAGGCTGAGGCAGGAGACTTGCTTGAGCCCAGGACTTGGAGGTTGCTATGAGCTGTGATGCCACAGAACTCTACCCAGGGGGACAGCTTGAGGCTCTGTCTAAAAACAAAAAAAAAAAGAGAGAACAGACTAGAGGGGGTAGAGCATTTAGAAGGCTATTTATCCAGGCAACAAATAAACAGAGGCTTGGATTAGAGAAATCTTTTTTTTTTTTTTTTTTTTGCAGTTTTTGGCCAGGGCCAGGTTTGAACCTGCCACCTCTGATATATGGGGCTGGTGCCCTACTCCTTGAGCCACAGGTGCCACCCCTGGATTAGGGAAATTTTTTTTTTTTTTTTTTTGGTTTTCTTTTTTTTTATTGAACGGTAACTATGTACATTAATGCACTTCTGGGGTACAGTGTGGGGTTTTCACATGCAATCTGAAATACTTCCATCAACTGGTCAACACAGCCTTCATGTCATTTTCTCAGTTATTGCTTTAAAACATTCACATTCTACTCTTAGAAAGATTCACCTGTACCCCTATGAGAAATCTTAATAGAGCTCAAGAGTAGTGCTGTCCAAGACCACGAGGATGGCCAACTAGTAGAAAGGAGAGTTTTACTGGCGGTATCATATTGCAAACCAGAAAGACACAGTCTCTGGCCTGTACTTCAAAGAGGGAAAGGGCTGGTTGGTTTGTGTGCCTCACAATAGAGTTCATACATACTCAGCAGGTTTGGGGGAGAAACTATACACGTCTAAAACAGGAGTTCAGCGCGTGTACAATGGGCAAACACCTATGAAACAGACACCCCATGTTCACTTTAGGACAGGGTTTTGGGACTAAAATGAGATGGAATTTGGCTCTTTATATCAAAAAGTAAACTATAGGACACGAAGACAGCTTGTGACCTTTTCTTTTTCTTTTTCTTTCTTTTTAGAGACAAGAGACACTCTGTTGTCTGTTGCCCTAGGCATGAGGGACGTAGCATGATCACAGCTCACAGCAACCTCAAACTCCTGGGCTCAAGCGATCCTCCTGCCTCAGCCTCTCCAATAGCTCGGACTACAGAAACTACCCACTGTGCCAGATCTTGTGTACAGTTTCTATAAGCTGACTGAAATGGCTTGAGGTCTGTAGTTGCTTGTTAGGAAAGGATGTTTGTAAGGCTGGTCCTCTGTCCAGTCAGAGTTATAGTGGTCCTAATTGTCAACTTGCCTGACAGCTCCTATTGTTAGGGAGTTTAGCAAGCAAATGTGTAGTTTTAATTTTTTTAAAATATATGTATTTTTTAGAGACAGAGTCTCACTTTGTTGCCTTCGGTAGAGTCCCATGGCATCACAGCTCACAGCAGCCTCCAACTCCTGGTGATCCTCTTGCCTTAGTCTCCTGAGTACCTGGGACTACAGGTGCCCGCCACAACGCCCAGCTAATTTTTGTTGCTGTTTGGCCAGGGCTGGGTTCGAACCCACCACCCTTGGTATATAGGGCCAGCGCCCTACCCACTGAGCTACAGGCACTGCCCAAGCAAGTGGTTTTTCTTGTGGGAAGTTTCCATGCCAGCTGAGCCATGAACTCTTGACCCAGAAGTAACTTTTATTTTCTTAACCTAGAGTTCATTTTAGTTGATAAAGGGGCATCTATTTTGATACTCAGATATCAAAATAGTAAATACATCTTAGAGACATTTAGGCAATTTAAACACATCTTGGAACTACAATATGCTGAACGTTAGGCTGAGGGAGAAAGTGACATAACTCCCAGGTCTCAGGCTAATGTATTGGAAGAATAATGGGGCCAGTATGGACAGGGAAACTCCCAGAGCAAGAGCAGTTTGGGACATGGGAAGTGTGATATGCCTTCAAGACATCCAGGAGGAAAAGCTGAGAAGGAAGATACCAGCTTAGTGCTTACAGAATGTTCTAGGCTGGAGCTATAGTTGTGCACAGAGATGGTAATTAAAGGTAAAAGTGTGGGGGAGACCACTCAGAAGGGAAGTTATAGGGATCTACAACTCAGCCTTGAGGATTTCAGCACTTAACTGCAAAGCAGAGGAGAGTGAGCCTAAAAACAGACTGAGAAGGATCAGTCAGGAAAACCAGAAGGTTTGTGTCCCAAAAGCTAAGGCAAGAGAAAGCTTCCGAAATGAAGGCATGGTCATCTGTGTCAAAGGCTCCTAAGAGGTAAATGAAGATGAGGACTGAAGTGTCTACAGGATTTACACAGAGGAGAGAGAGCTGGTTAAGTGGTGCAATCTCATTCCGCCTGAAGCTTCCAGACCCTGTCTCACACATTCCAAACCTTATTTTGATTTTTTTTTATTTCAGACCAGTATGGCTGGGTGTGGCGGCTGACACTTGTAATCCTTGCACTCTCAGAGGCCAAGGTAGGTGGATTGCTTGAGCACAGGAGTTTAAGACCAGTCTGAGGGCTCAGCACCTGTAGTTTAGCAGCTAGTGTGTAGCCATATACACCAGAGCTGGTGGGTTTGAACCCAGCCTGGGCCTGCTAAACAACAATGACAACTACAACCAAATAATAGCCAGGTGTTGTGGTGGGTGCCTGTAGTCCCAGCTACTTCGGAAGCTGAGGCAAGAGAATTGCTTAAGCCCAAGAGTTGGAGGTTGCTATGAGCTGTGATGGCATTACATTCTACTGGGGGTGACATACTGAGACTATCTTAAAAAAAAGAAAAAGAAAGAAAGAAAGACCAGTCTGAGCAGGAGCAAGACCCTGTCTCTTCTAAAAATAGAAAAACTAACCAGGTTTTGTGGCAGGCGCCTGTAGTCCCAACTACTTGGGAGGTTGAGGCAAGAGAGTCACTTAAGCCCGAGAGACTGAGGTTGCTGTGATTCCATAGCATTCTACCCAGGGTAACAGAGTGAGACTCTGTCTCAAAAAATATATATTCAGATTAATACGAGGGTACAAATAGGTCATGGAGTTTGCATTTGTTTTGTTTTTGTTTTGAAACCGAGTCTTGCTTTGTTGCCCTAGGTAGAGTACTATGGCTTCATAGCTCACAGCAACCTCAAACTTGGGCTTAAGTGAGTCTCTTGCCTTAGCCTCCCAAATAGCTGTGACTATAGGCACCCACTACAACACCCAGCTATTTTTAGAGATAGGGTCTCACTCTGGCTCAAGCTGGTCTCAAACCCATGAGCTCAGGCAATCCACCTGCCTCAGCTTCCCAGAGTGCTAGGATTACGGTTGCGAGCCATCGCACCCAGCTGCCTCCATCTTTTTTATGGCTGAATAATATTCCGTGGTATACATATACCACCGTTTGTTAACCCATTCAACACATTCTGAATGGTAAACTACCCATGTTTTATAGTGAAGAAAATGATAAGATATTAAGACTTACTGCATTTTCAGCTTCAAACATATTCATGCTGCTCAATTTGAAAGCAGTCCCCGGCCCTAATCCCTCCCACACCCTTTCCTCCTCCCCCTCAGCTGAGTTTACCGTGCTTGGGATGCTCAGTTCATTGTCTGGTCCACGTTCTGAGAGAGGTCTCTGATTCTGAAGGCTCTTGACAATGTCTACAAGCTGTTCAACCAGTTCTGTCAGCTCCTGACCAACTTTCATGATGTTGTTCTGTACTGCCTCCTTGAAAAGAACAAAGTTTTATGGAACCCAGGAACCCCGACCAGACAGACAGAGTCATAAACATCATGGTACTGGCATAAAGACTCACATATAGAATGGAATAATGATGGAATAGAAAAAACAAACCCTGAACATAACAAGTGTTGGTAAGGATGTAATAAGGCTAGAACCCTTGTACACTGTTGATGGGAGTATTATATGGTACTGCCACTGTGAAAAACAGAATAATGGTTGCTAAAAATATTAAAAATAGAATTACCAGCTCGGTGCCTGTGGCTCAAGTGGCTAAGGCGCCAGTCACATACACCTAAGGTGGCGGGTTTGAATCCAGCCCAGGCCCGCCAAACAACAATGACGG